TTATTGTTCATATAAGATCATTAACATCATTATTTATACTCTGTATACTAAAATTTTTGCGTGCATTACACTTGATCAAAGTGTCAAGCTATTCGTAGCATCTAAAATAGCGCTATTTCTAGCAAATAGCTAGCTGTATTGTTTTTGTGCTAAGATGCGAAATTTGCCATTCATGCAATAATTATAAGACATTCCTTTGCCGAATTCAAAATCATGGCTAAAAACAAGGTATATTAAATGCATCATATTAAAATTTCATATCAATTGTTTGAGACGCTAAATTCAAGAAAGATACTTTAAAAAAAGGCAGTGGCGCAGTAACTGACCACCGCTATATACTGTGATTGCTATTTTTGCCAGCTATTTCGACTATTAATAGCTAGCCAGCAAAAATAGCAAAAGTAGCACGAAGATAAGGCGATAAAGACCCGAAACTATTAATAGCTGGACACTCTGCACTTGATTAATACTTTAAAAAAGGGAGAGCATACCCGTCAACCACCAAACGATGCGTATCCCAACTAAGTTTTGGTACGGGACCATGATTTCTCACATAATGTAGAGAAGTTTGTGTTATAAATCCATCCTTCATTAAAAGCGATAATGGCGGCTCACAATTAAGTGGATGTCTACCTGACAAGGATTGTAAAAAAAATGTTCTTGATTTATTTCATTGGCTTAAATCGGGGATTTATCATTCTTACCTGTCAATCTTATAAGTTCAGGATGGCGTGGAATCCAATTATCTGGGGTATCTGCATCACGTGGATTCATCATTGTATTTGAAGGAATGTAAGGATCGAAATTTTGTTCAACTTTTTCATGCTGTGAGTCTGTCATGCTTGTGATCCGGTCTTTAGCATGTTCATTCTCATAACGAATAAAGTTGTTAACGGCGAGTGATGATTGTATGATGGATGTCATGTCTACCAAAGGATTTTGAAGGAAAATTTTATCATTTCAAAGGCTGCTTTTATGGAGAATACGGTAGTCGGGTATAGTAGGAATGATATACATGGAATTACCATATTAACGCACACATCAACTGATAGGGTTTCTACCAATTTACGTGACGGGTTTACACGTTATTGATTTTTACTACGTCACGAATATATCTTATCAAAATAGAATAAAAAAGAACCAATAAAAGGGCTTATTTAGCTTTATATTTATCTCTTATCTACTGGGTATAGTTAACTTGATACCAATTTGGACAATGGAATTATTGTAGTACGATAACAATAGTCCGGCTTCTAAAAAATTCTTTGGGGCATGGATTTTTGCACTAACTTAATACATGTAGCATTAGTGCCCGATGATAGATATAGATCTGCATCATATAATAGCAGACTGATATAGAAAATTATTGATAATGACGAATTGACATTAGTGGAGAACAAAAGTGATGTTCTATAAGTAATAGAGATAACCGCTGCTTCTTTGACCTTGAATAGGACCTAGGTGCTATTTGCTGAGAATCACGATAAATAGAATGCGAGATATGGGCGTTGAAGCTTATTCTTGATACGTAAAACCAATTTAATGTTAACAATTTTGACAACTTTTCTACGTATTAAAAAGGATAATGTATATTCAGTTGTGTAATATTAAGGTGCGGATAGTTTTAATTAACTTTATATGGAAATGACAAAAAAAGGGATCGGGGTTACCATTTTGATATATTCATGTACCGTATAGCATCCCCACAAAATAATAACCCCATAATTAAGTTTGGGTGCCCTAATTTCTCCACCACTTTATCGGAGAACTATAAAATTGATTAATAATTAGTAGAACCAATCAGAAGTGGCGGATTAGTAAATTCATTAAGTTCTGGGTACCCGCACTTATTTGTGCGGGTAATACAAACCCCTAGAAAGGAAATGGCCAATCGGAGTGCACAAAATTTGATTGTTCCGGATCAGCCCGACCTTGGTTCACTAATAACGAAATTTTACAAAATGTTAACGCTCTAACCCTAAACTTCTATCTTTACTAGTGTTTTGAACCGTTCAACCGAAAGTTCAACCGGGGCTGATCCGGGTAGACTTACGGGTATTCCCAGCCAATCGCTGATGTTTGTTTACATTGGGTGAAATAGGATGTGTCAATCCTATTTTACCCGATGTAAACAAACATCAGCGATTGGCTGGAAATACCAGCATGGTGGACAAGCGTGGTAGTACAAACTTTCCAAACTTGAAATTTGTGACTCAGGACCGATCTGTCCAATAAAAGTACGGGGATGATCGGTCACATGAAATTAAACAATTGGTCATGTTTGTGCACGTGATAATTGGCCAATCAATTTTTTTATAATATTACAATCATGTTCAAAAAATCTTTATTTACTAAATCAAGGATATCTCACGATTCAGTAGTCAGAATTTGATGAATCTTATACCATTCGATTCGTCTCAATGAGATGAATCGAATGGTATAAGATTCATCAAATCTCACCCACTGGAACACGAGATATTAACAATATTATAATTCCTTATTCGCTTATATACTTTTAATAAAATTTTATTTTTAAGTGCATGTATATTGTTTCTACTTAATCTATTCAATAAATATACTTTGCTAGATTGTTTCTAAATCATTTCTATTTGTATTTTAAATTGTAGTAGTTAAAAATATTTAAAATTTAACTTATAAAATAACACGTTCATTTGTAATAAATTTTTAGATTTAAACTATATAAAAACGAGTTAACTTATCTATTTATTCTGTTTTTTGAATAAGAACTACTTCGGGTTCGTTATTGCTTTTTCTAAAAAGTATTAAAACTTAGTTTTATGCTGCTTACTTTTAGTTTTAATACCAAAAAACCTTTTTTTGTTCAAATTATGAATTCAATTACCTTTGATTTCTTATAAAACTTACCTCTAATAAAATTTCTTAAATATTGTGATTATTTTTGATTAATTTTAATACAAGGTAGGTTACGTAGAGGTTTTTTGCTAGCTTTCTTTTTAGAACAGATTTAATTGATAGGTTTTGAAAAATCACGAAAATACAAAATACTTTAAACTATATAAAAAAGCAAAAAAAACTTTTATTAAATTGGCTAAGCCACAATATCGATCATTCAAATTTGGATTTGTCTACCATGCTGGGAATACCTGTAAGTCTATCTAGATCAGCCCCAGTTGAACTTTTGGTTGACGATTCAAAACACTAATCTTTACGTACTTAGTTTATTTACAAAATATGATTTTCTTTTTTGGTTTGTGTTACTTGTACAAATAAATAAATCACCCATCA